GTTCCAGTGGTTCCACAGGTATGTTTGCTGTGCCGGCAATCGCGGACTCTCCGGACACGCAACAAAGTGCAGGTTCTGGTATTAGCCACGACCAATCACATTCCTCCTGGAAAGAAGTTGGTCATGCTGTGTGGCCCAGGGACGGAGAAAAGAAGAGATCGTCATCAGCTTCGTTATCGACACCGAGAAGGTGTGAAAGGCGTCATGAGTCCTGTCAGAAAAGAAAAAGGGCGATCGAAGTTGCCTACAGGCTCAAGTCCGTCAAAGATGACTCAGGAGAACAAGACCCTCAGGCAGGAAGTGGAGGAGGCGACGTGACAATTTGGCTATGCTACAGGAGTCATACATCTCGGGATTTGAACTTTGCTTCCTTTGCGTGTCTTCCCTACATGTCCAACAGTTCCTGGCATTTCCCTTCACTTCCTTTCGCTTCATTTCCATTGCAGCTTCCTTCATTTCCTTGAACGCCCCGTCATTCGCATTCCTTTCCCTTAGTTCTTTTTAATTCCCTTGACTTCAACCTCGCTTCCCATTTTCGCGCCAGTTTCCTGCACATCCCTTCATTTCTCTTCAGTTTCTCTTCGTTTCCCATAATTTCCATCAATTTCTTTTCGTTCCCGTCCCTCGGTCCTTGACGTTCTGCCCTTGCAGGACAAAGTATCGGGAACAAGAAATCTGGCGGAAGTATCCGAATTCTTCATTCGTTGGAACCTCTCCAAGTGGAGAACACAAAATAGCGAAGTCAGAAGAGACAGAATGCTGCGCGCGCCGGCCTGAACCACAAGCGCAGCAGCAGCGCGTTTGTGCTAACGAGAATAACACGGCACGCGTCGCCCGCAACATTAGATCCAGCAATCAGTTTGCATCGCAAAACCCATAGAGTTCGCACCATACTCTCCATAGAAACTGCTAGCACGGTTTGTGTCTCCTCGGGGAAGGCTGAGTTCTTTGGAGGGCTGCCACTCTGTTAAGGCGCCGTCTCTTCCACAAGCCCTTGCCATCAGCGCATGGCAGGCGTCAAGCGTATTCCAACCTTCATCGGCGCGCTTACGCTTTGCACGCTTGCAGGCTTGCAGGCTGCACTCGAACCGACCATTGCTTAAAGTGTCTAAGGAGAAAACATCACATGTTACTGCTACGAGTTGCACCCTCCAGACCAGAGCGCGCAAGCAGCACAAAGCAACACAAACACACAGAGCGTCATACGGCATCGCACAGCGGTCAAGCAGCGCAGTCTATTCGAAAAGCAGTTTCGAGCGTGGCGAAGCGCGCTCCGGAGCGCGCAAGTAGCACAAAGCAACACAAACACACAGAGCGTCACACGGCATCGCGCAGCGGTTAAGCAGCGTGGCGAAGCGCGCTCCGGAGCGCGCAAGCAGCACAAAGCAACACATGCCACAGAGCGTCATATGGCATCGCGCAGCGGTTAAGCAGCGCAGTCTATTCGAAAAGCAGTTTCGAGCGTGGCGAAGCGCGCTCCGGAGCGCGCAAGCAACACACAGCAACACAAACACACAGAGCATCACACGGCATCGCACAGCGGTCAAGCAGAAAAGCAGTTTCGAGCGTTCCGGAGCGCGCAAGCAATACAAAGCAACACAAACACACATAAGCGTATACGGTACGGCACAGCGGCTAAGAAGACGACTCTAAAGTCTATAGAACAATCTGGAGCGTGGCGAAGCGCGCTCCAGAGCGCGCAAACTTCATGGGCGCGCTCACCAACTGGCTCACCAACTGCACGCTTGCAGGCTGTTCTTGCGTTGACCATTGCTTGGCATGTCCAACGAAAACACAACCCATGTTACACGTTACTGCTGGGAGCTGCGCGCTCCGGAGCGCGCAAGCAGTACAAACAATCCGGCTAAGCAGCGCAGTCTTTTCGCGAAACACCTAGACCTGAGCGGCATCTGGCTTAACACAAACGCATAAAATATTGCGCCTACATTTAGCAACATATTTGCTATTGTGGAAGATCAGAGTGCACCTGCAGGGGTCCTTTCCGCCAAATGTGCGGCGGTCAAAACATGTGTTGCGGTTGGCTGTCATGGCTGGCTGGGTGTCGCTCTCCAAGGCCCCCTGTCGCTACACACAGCGCCAGCTCATTTCTCGCATCTCGGCTGGAAGGTCTCAGCTTTTCAGCACCAAAGTAGTACATGAGGCTTGCCTCAACCTCCTTCCTTTCATGCCTTTTCCCCATGGGCTACTGCGGAAGAGATGGTAGTGCTTGCTCGACACACGGGACGGTCACTTCCCGCCGGCTCCTCTACGTCAAGGACATGCTCCTAGCTTTGTAGTACAAGTGTAGCACTCGAAGTACACGTCCGCAGCCCCAGCTTGAAAATCGCAGCTTTGTAGTACAAGTGTAGCACGCGAAGCACACGTCTGCAGCCCCAGCTTGAAAATCGCAACTTTGTAGCACAAGTGTAGTACGCGAAGGGGCAACTGCCTACCTGAAGGGGTTTTGGGCGTCGCTCCATAATCTGAAAGGTGTCGCTTTGGGTGTCGCTACGGGTGCCGGATTTTTTCCCAGGGGCTTCCGGAACCCTACTTCAAAAGCACAGTGCCTCTTTTTTGCTTGCATCGTCGCCTGTCCCCGCCAAGGCGACGGAGCACCTCTTAAACTGGAACGCTCAAACTGCCAAGACGAGATCCTTCAAACCTGTCTTGCGTCGCAGCCGGGACTTAGACTTCCACGATGTGTTCAGCACGTACTTCCGTTCCCACGCAAGTAAAAAGGTACTTACAAACATGTTCCATGGGGACTTACATACATGCAAGCCCTAAACAGGGGTGTCGCTACTCAAGGCCCCCTGTCGCTACACACATGTTTTCAAAAAACAGTTATGTCACGGCGGCCGCAATGAAGACCTCTACATAACGTGTTTTGACCCTTGCACAAATAATGTCTCAGAACAGGGGAACTGGCACAGCCTTTCCGCTTTGAGTTTCCAACAAGCAAACCCATATCCAAAACAAGCGTTCCAGTTCTCGCGGCTCGCACGTGTTGTTCGGCTGCGCGCTCCGGAGCGCGCAGCCTTGCTTGGCGTCGGCCATGTGCGCTGACATCAAGATGAAGTAGCAAACATCAGCGTAACATCAGCGCGGCGTCGCAAAACCATGCAAGCGCCTTGTTCAAAGGCGTCTGTGGCTGTTCTTGCGCGAAATGCAGAATAAATAAATATATAGATATATATATATATATTAAAAGTAGATACGCTCACAGAAATGCATGGCTTAAGTTTCAATTGAGCCTCCAATCAGCAAAGCTCATCCGAAACGTCTCTGCAACTTCTTACTTGGACCGCAACAGCTGTCTGCCCGCAATTCTGCAGTTTCCTTCCATGACGAAAGAACACAAACCTGTTGGGCCAAACATGGGTCTTTCTATGGGATGGCGCGGGCCAGCCTCGACGGCAACGCCCCAGATTGTGTGCGGCGCAGCGCCGCCGACGCCTGAGCAAGAAGGTGCATGTGAGAGAACGCGTGATATTGTGACACTTCGCATTCGGAGGAACCTCGACGCATGCCCTTATCGTTTCCATTTAAAACGCACAACATGTCTCCCCGCTGGACCTATCAAGATGAAAACTGCGCCTCACGCGAACCATTTTACCATCAATCATCTCTCTCGTCCGGAAGGTGTCGGCACAAGAATAGCGCGAGCAAAGATAGGCAAGGGAGCTGGAAGCCCGGGAGCTTCCAGCCTATTTCAACAGCGAAGGGTTTTTTGAGTTGGCGTTGGAGACATTGATGTGCCTCGAGACAAACGTTTGGACATTGACACTGGGACATTTTGATGTCAATAATTACTCACATGTTGCAAGATTTCACACCCGTTCCCCCCCCCCCACACATCCGCACATTTTCGCTGCGGCTCGCACCAGGCGCTGGTTGGCCAACGCCGATTCAAAAACCCTCGGAAGCCGGGCGGCTGTCAGGCGACGAAAATGCACGACATGCGCGGCAAGCTCTGAGCAGCAATCAACGTCTCTGGCCAACGCTGTTACTGTGAAGACTTAGGGCCGCATTCCGGATCCCGCTTCCTCTTCAAGCTCGGTTCTGCTTCGTCGTCTGCCTGGATTGCACCTGGGGCTGTGTAAAAAGCATGAGCCATTCTGCGGTTATCCGACACTAAGGTCTTACCAATGGCTACTGTCTTTTTACTCCTGACCGTTTTGAAGGGAGATCTAGCGCATGTTTTGTCCGAAAAAGGAGCGGTGCGACACGGACTTTTTTCGCAAAGCCAAACCTTCGACACGGACTTTTTCCTTCCTCAGAGCATCCAGGAGCTGCTGGTACTGGCCAATGTCCTCTTCAATGCGCGAGAGCAGGAATGCGCGGGTGGACCGATCCTTCTGCCGATCCAGGTCGGCCCAGCTCATGCCCTCGATTGCAAGCACACTCGTCTGGATCTCTAGCTTGACCGGGGCCTGCAGCTAAAAGCCGTCTAGACACTGAAGTGGCCGGCATCGGAAATTCGGAAAGCGGTTTTGCATCGTTCAATTGAGTACGAAGTGGAGGCGCAAATGAACGACCCAAAGTTGAGCGAAGCAGAGGCTGTGTGGACCATGAGTTAAGCCGGCGAATCTGCCCTGCCTTGGTGAGCGCGCCTGGAGCAGCCAGCCAGAAGTCCGTAACCTGCGAGGTGTCAGCGCCCACATATTTCAGCTGCGTGACCGTGTCCCGGCAGTGCTGAAAGAGGCCGACCTTCAAGCTTGCGGGCAGGCGTTGTGTGGGAAGCGAAGCACAGTGTGCTGGAGGCGAGGTCCTTCTTCAGAACGGTTGGATTCAAAGCGTTCCGGATAAGGCATTGCTTGACCCCATCGCTCCTGATCAGCATGTGAGCAACGGCAGGCATGGGTTATTATATGAACTATTGGCAATTCAGCGCCCGCTCTTGCAGCCCGTTCGTGAACATGTGTGACCTGCGGCTGAAAGCAGCCAAGTGTGCAGCCAAAGGACAAAGTGTCTCCAGGCTCCGCCAGGGAGCAGAAAACCCATGGCAAAGCCGGAGGTGCACTCGTGGCGCTGCCATCCGCCGAAGCCACCGAGGTAACCTTGCAATCCAGCAGCACCTCAAAGCTGATGCTCATGTCCTGCCAATTCCGCGGGTGCTCCAAGGTGAAGCAAGGCAGCACGAACTTGCATACGCTGCCTAGGCCGAAACACAGGTAAAAGCCCTGCTGTAGAATCACTAACAACAGTAGCCAAATCTGCTGCAAAACCCAGCATGGGCAAGAAACCTGGCGGCGCCAACTTCACAGTCCCCTGGCGCATGGCGGCCTGCACGTCTGCCTCCAACTTGATCAGCATGAGGCGCTTCTCTGCCTCGAGGCTCAGCTTCAACGGGCCAGCTGATGCCCGGAAGTACTTCGGCGCAGGGGTGACGGACTCACTGAGGCTCACCCCCAGCCTTGGAAGCCACGAAAGCCACTAGTGATCCAACGCACTACAGTCAACAAACCTCGTCTTTTGCCAGCTGGCTATGAGGGAAAACTGCGATCTCTCCAAGCCACTGCCTACGAAACTGGTGCTTCAAGCAGGCGCTGCATGCCTCTTCGCGCGTCCCATAGAAGAACAGCGCCTCGAAGCTGTCGAAGAAGCTGCACGACAGGAATGCCTCGCTGGGAAATGATCTGCGCGCTTGGGGCGCAACGCTGACACACAGTTCTGGCAAACTCGTGAAAGGAACACATGCTGCTAGCCATGTCTGTAGCACCTTAGAAAATACTTGCCGGAGCAACGTTGGCATGGCAGATTGGGCCAACGCGCCAAACCTTTGAGCGGGCCGAGGCACTTCCAGCTTGCCCTGCCACGTCTCCATCGGGACAGCAGTGAACGCCACTGTTTTTGGGACCTGGGTCACCGCCATCATGTCAAATGAAGCAAGAGCCTGAAAATCTGTGAGCTGCGCGCGGCAAGCTAGCGGTGTGGCTTTACGTCGTCGGCCCCTCCGTCGAGGAACTCGTGCTTCAGCAGCAGGGCCGAGGCCGCCGTGTCCTCCTCCTCCGCTGTGTTGCCGGCCTCCAGGGTTGCGTCCAGGATCTGGAGGCCGTAGACGTCCACCGTTCCTGCCGTCTGGTTGGGCAGGCCCGGCGTAGCTTCGCAACTCCGTTCGGAGGCACTGTGAAGTACATCTTCCAGGCGCCCTGGTCGCCCACGAAGCTGCCGTACAATGGGTCGTAGACGTTGTCGGCCTCTGACATGTACACCACGAAGTTGGAGGCCGTGCCGAGCCAGTAGCGGCAGGCGAAGAGGAGCTCTCGGCCCGGGGTCAAGTTGTAGGTGCGCACAATGTTCCACGGGTTGCCGCCAGGGTCAGGGTGTAGCCGTCCACGCTCACTCCCGCGGTGTGCGTGGCCAGGACCACGCTGCAGCCGCTGCTGGGGCGACCGTCCAGTTTGACAGCGAGACGTCCGTGGGGCCAGGATCTGCTCTCCTATGGCGGCCACCACCTCGTCGGCCCCTCCGTCGTCCGGAAAGCGCACTGCTATCTGCAGCGCCGAGGCTGCCTCCGTGACTCCGAGCTTGCCGGCAAGGAGGCCGTCTACTTGTGCGATGGTGTAGTAGCTGAGCAGCGCGGCTGCGATGCTCGAGGCCGTTGCCGTGTCCTGGTCTGCGGCTGAGCGGTACGCCACCAGCGCCGAGGTGATTTGGTTGGTTGTGAACACGTCCTGGTCCGGGCCCGTCCTGTAGGCCAGCAGCGCGCCCGCGATGGCCGCCTGCGTCTGCGTGTCCTGCGCCGCGCCCGTGCGGTAGTCTCCCAACAGTCCACTTGTGAGGAGGTGTAGTAGGCCAGCAGCGCGGCCGTGATGGCGCTGGTCGTCTCCGCGTTCTGCGCCGTTCGCAATCCTCGCGGAGCTCGCCGCCCTGCAGCTTTCCGGCAGCGGAGTTGTTAACGCGCCGGCCTGGGCGGGCTTCACGACTTGGGAGCTCCTTCGCGGAAGCAACGTCGTTCGCAACCTGCACTTCATGGCTCCTCTCTCTGCTGCGCTGGCCAACGGCGACGACACGCTGAGCATCACGGCAGACTGCTACTCCGCGGCGGGCACTGACGCTGCCATAGCAGCAGCCTTGCTGGCCTACCACACCTCCTCACAAGTGGACGCTCTGTTGGGCGCTCTGGAGCGTGGTCTCGCTGGCGGAGAGCGCGGCGTTCGTGGCGTATGAGGCCAGCAGCGCCGCGTCAGCCTTGGAGGCCTGGAGCGCCGAGATGCCGGTGTCCCGGCTAGCAAGCTGCGCTGCGACGAAGGCCTCGGTGGCAAGGCCCAGCGCTGCATTTGCTATCTTGGTGTCCACCTCCAGCGGAGTGTCCAACCCGTCCACCGTGGAGAGCAGGGAGGCCAGCGCGCTGGTGTCCGCCTTGCCGGCGAGGGCGGCGTCCAGGGCTGCCGTGGTGACTGCGTTTAGGAGGGCCGCTGCTATCTTAGAGTCCACCTCTGAGGAAGTGTCGACGGCCGAGAGCAGGGCGTAAGCTGTCAGCGCGCTGGCGTCCGCCTTGGAGGCCTGCAGCCCCGAGATGGAGGCGTCTCTGCTTGCGAGCTCGGAGGCCAGTCCCCCAGGAGAGCGTTGGCCACCTTGGTGTCCACCTCCAGCGGCGTGATCCTCGCCGCTATGTCTAGGGAGTGCTGGTCCACCACCGTCTTGAGGCCGTAGTTGGCGGCCACCGTGGCCAGCGTGGCGTTGTTGGCCGAGGCGATGGAGCCGTTCATGGCCGCCGTGGTGCTGTAGTTGGACAGCTTCAGGTCCACGCCGTCCGGGGTGCTCTTCGTGGCCACCACGCCCTCCAGCACGTCGAAGGCCGACTGGTCTGCCTTGTTGGAGAGACCCGTGGTCAGCGAGCTCTGCAGCGCGGCGATGCTGCTTCCGTGCGCGGCCACCTGTCCGTCCGTGGTGGCCAGGGCCGCCGCCGTGGCTAGGGGCGCAATTGCCGGCGCCAGCGCGCTGCTGTCCAGCTTTGAGGCCAGCTCTGCGGTGACTCTGTCGTCCAGGGACTGGATGGCCGCTGCGTTGTTGCCGGAGGCTGCCGTGTTCACCGCCAGGTCCGTTACTTGAGCGTAGGGCGTCAAAGCGAGGGCCAGCTGCCCTGCGGTGACGTGCGTGCCGTCAGTCACCTCTCCGTTGTCCAGGACCTCCGGGATATTGCCGGTAACAGGTCCTTCAAACATGTTTACATATGTTCTCGCCGACGCCTTAGTCCAGTGGCTAAGGCGTTGGCCAAGGAGCTAAGCGCTTCTTACTCCGCACGGGGCTCGATTCCTGCCGCGAGCGCAGTTGAGTACCATTCAGTCCGAACTCCGGCCATTAGAAGGTTCCGCAAAGCGAGGCCGGCTCCGCGGCTTCGGTCTGAGCGAGGCCGGCTCCGCGGCTTCGGTCTTGGAGCGAGGCCGGCTCCGCGGCTTCGGTCTTGGAGCGAGGCCGGCTCCGCGGCTTCGGTCTTGGAGTGGCATTCCGGCGGGGGTATTGTGTTTGACACACCACCCCCTCACAGGCGTCACCGCTTAAGCCACCGCCGCGGCCTTCCCAGCCCAGCAGTGTAACAGCCCTGAGCCTCGACAAAACCACGCTCAACGGAGTCAGCCGTCAGCCCCAACAGGAGCTGCTCAAGCGCGTGTTCTGCCAGCACGGCGTGTTCCGCACAATGCAGCAGCTGGTTGCCACGCACGCTCCCGGGTGGGAGGTCTTAGTGGATTTCACATGTGTGGAGCACTTGCTCTGCGAGTTGCTCGGCCTTGTTGTGGCCAGCGATGGTCTTAGAGTGTGACAAGTTCTCGTTTTTTTTTGTGCTCTCCTAGGCCAAGAAAATGGCGGTCGGAGACAAAGAAGATCCACGAGCCGAATGCCGCCGGCTTGGAGGAATACAGACGCCTGGTGGCTGTGTTTGCTTCCGCGCTGGGCTTGGTGCTTCCAGAAAACGCTGGCAAGCATTTTGCATTTGTCAGTAGCGACCATTCGGAAGTGGAAACGCAGCTGCTGGATGTGTTTGAAGCGCTCCCAGGCTTGAGTTTGGGCGATTTTCAGTTTGGTCGTTCAGCTGTTTTTTGCAAACTCAGCCTGTTCAGCCTACCAAAGTAGCGTAGCCAAGGCTTCTGGTGCGCTGGAAACGCCATTGGAGCCCCCAAGCGTCGCCAGTCCGATCGGGGGCCTGCAAGATCATTGAAGACCCAGAGTTCAAGCGCCTTGCAAGCAGTCCGCAATTGCCTCTTTGCAACGCAAGCTAATCAGCGATTTGCGGGGCTGTTGACCTGACTAGAAGATAAAATATGGGTAGTGACATATGAGAGTCGTCCGAAAGGTCGTTGTATTCAGCTATGAAGGGGAAGACCTTTTGGTCTTAGCGTTGACCTTCGCGAAAGTTCCGCGAAGGGGGTCGCGAAAGTTAATTTGTTTTCCGCGAAAGTTTTGTGTGGCTTGCAAACAGGAAGCTGGAGTGATGAACCATATGTATTTACCGGCAGTGCGCAGAATGCCCGCAGACTAAAGTTGGTCGGAGAATGCGTAGTCTGAGGGTCGCCGCAAGAGTACGCCGCTGCAACAGCAACCCCCAGCCAGCAGAAACCAGCTTCTGGGAGGTTTGAAGCTGTCGGGGCAAGCTGAGCGCAACTTCCAGCTGGATTTTCGCGAATGTTTGGCGTAAGATCCACGAAAGATTCACGAAAGTCGACGGACCTCCCCGCCAGTTTCCAGACAGGAGGCCAACAGGTCTTCTCATGCGCAGCTTGCGGCTTGTGAGCTGGAGCTGCGGAAGCGCGCTTCGCGTGCTACTTTGGATCTGAAAGGTTGCGACTTTCGAGCTGGAGCTGCGGAAGTTCACTTTGTGTACTACTTTCGTATTGAAAAGTTCTGACTTTCGAGGCTGAGGAAGTTTAGTCGTGTACTACTTTCGTATTCAAGCCGGGCTGCGGAAGTTTACTTTTAGTACTACTTTCGCACTGAAGAGCTGCGACTTTCGAGCTGGGGCTGCGAAAGTGTACTTCGTGTACTACTTTTGTGATGAATGTTCTGAAAACAGCCCCGCGAAAGTTCCGCGATGGGGTCCGCGAAAGTTAATTTTTTCTCGCGAAGATGGCGGTTTCCGGAGCAAGGAATTTCAGACAACCGTCAATATGAAGAGTCACCTGGCTGCTTGAGTGTTCAGCCGCCGAGGCTGAAGCCAGTGACCGCAAACCGACAGCCCCCTGTTGGTGTATTTCAGCTTGGTCGTTGTGCTTGAGCTGTGTTTTGCAACTTGACACGGTCGAGCATTGAATTTCGGTTGCGTTGATCAGGATATGCCTGCATGTCCGCAGGGTTTCCGTGTTTGGGGAGTCTTGGGCTTTAATTTAGAGTGGCCGGCTCAGTCCGCCGACTTTCCACAGTGTGAAGTTGAGATGTTAAAAGGAACATCACGGCTCCAGCAAGGAAGGCCATTTC